AAACAACGTATAATAGATTCAATAAATAATATATTTCTATTTGAACGTTGTATATATTTTTTTAAAATGTATATTATAAAGATAAAAATGTTATTTCAATATATGTCTTTGTGTTTAAATTAACATTATTTATATTTACACATGTCATATATAATCATAGTTAGGTTATAAATGTTTAAGTAGGGACATTAATTATTTTAAATTTTTCATATTTCTTATATTATAAAATGTAAAGATGGCTGAAACAAATCCGGAAGTAAGGATACATTTATATTTACGAATATAATAGAATATATGCATATTAATGAATAACCTGAACTTAATGAATTAAAATAAGAAACATATAATATTAATGAATATAAAAATATTTATATTTTCCTTTTCCTTACTTTAACTTTTTAGTATTTTAATAGAGCTCATTTGCCTTCAGTTAAATTTTATGATATGCTTAATTATGATAGACTAAGTTTACTACCTAAAGATTTTTCGTACTGTAAAGGATTTTCTGGTAGTTTCGTTAATCCAAAAAAAGTTAAAGAGATTTGTTCAAAATATGTAACTTATTTAACAAAACAAAAACAAATAAGGCATCATAATAGTAGCTTTAGTGAGCACTGTAATCTGATAAGCTATTGGGTATCAGAAGAGCTGTTAAAAACACTTGAAAATGATGATCGGATGTGTTCTATAGCATTCGGCCAAATTCAACTTATGTGGAGTAATGCTTATGGAACTTTGAGTGAATCAAGTGATATCAAATGTTTACCCTATAATTCTATTCTTAGTTATTACCATATTTGGGAAAATACTAAAAAACTCTATGATTACTATGTCGATTATAGTTACCTTTATAGTATCGCTAGTAAATGTAGTGGAGAGTGTGAAAATTTGTGCACGTACCTCAAAGGAATAACTGATGCATATGACTCTTTTAAAGGTCGTTGTCGTAATAGTAATAAAACTATTTGTCCAATTGCTGATATTAAATATGAAGATTACGATCCGAAAAAATTGATGGATAAGGCTTCATGTTACCCAAATAATCAGGAATCTCTTAGTGAACCAGGTTCACATGAAGAACAGGCATTAATGGGTCCTGAAAATAATTCATTAGACGATACTGCATTACCCCCAAATGATTATTATCAGAATACTGAATCAATAAGTAATGAAACTAAACATCTAAGTGCATTTGGTAATTCCTTTTTAGGATTAGTTCTAACATCCATGCTATTTGTTGTTTTATATAAAGTATATGAAAATAACATTAATATATGTAAATCCTATATATTTATTAGTAAATTAATTTTACATATATAAATATGTAATACGTTAATATATTTCACATGTACTTTATTATTCTTAAATTTACAAGTATACACCCATAGGAAAACAGTTTCAAAATAAATTTCCAACTTTAGCTAATATGATTAACAAATTAAATGGAAAAGAAAAAGGTATATTTACCTATAGATCAGAAACGTTTAGCCCATTTCGAGAATATTTAGAAGAGAATTATATAGAATATAACCCAGTATAATATTATTAAATACAAAATAACTATTAAGCAGTTTGTATTAATTTAGATAAATTTACTTATGGAATTAAATAACGAATAAATATTTGTTCTTGTGTGAATAAAGAATACATATAGACTTAAAATTTTAATATGTCTTGTTCAATTATTTCAATAATACTTATAAAAAAAAGTATTAATATAAATAAAAATAAATATTGTGTTAAATAAATTATTTATATTATATAAGGTTTAGGATTCAGGGTTTAGTTTTCAGCGTTTAATGTTTTTGATGTTATATATATTTTTATGATTTTTACTTTTAGAATTTATTTTTGTAATTATATTTTCTTTTTAATATATAAGGATTACACTTAATAATTTATACATTTTGTTATATATATTAAGTGTATCATCATATTTTTGGAAAATTTATTTATTTTTGTATATTTTATACTATTTCTGTTAATTATGAGGGCAATAATTCTAACATTAATGTATTCTATATATAATATTTTTTCTTATTTATACATTCTGTTTTATTAGTTTTGTTATTGTTTAAATACTTCATTTTATGCATGATATATTAACATGGCCTTATAGTAAAAAATATGTTATTTTATATATAGAAATATCGTTCTACATTATTTTACACAAATTATATTTATCATTCTATAATGGTTTATATTATTAATTTATATATTTCTTTCATCTTTTAAAAATTAATATTCTAATATTTACTTGATTTTTTAATTTATAACACTA